ATGCTTATATTTATACCTACAAATCTTTGTCGGTAGGATACAAAACCTTCTGACAATAAAGTATATTTTGATTGATTTGATTTATTGAAACTCGTGTTTTACGATACTGCCCGGTTTGACCAACATATCATCATTTGTGACAGCTTCCACAGTTCAATTTGTACACTATATTGGGTTACATGTCTTGAGGTGTTTTTATTTTTTGTTTCGAAAAAAAAATGCTTTCCAACTGTATTTTCATTTTAAAAGGCCACTTAATCCAGTCATTTAAGCTTAAATTAGGTAAGAATCTCGGAATTCGAGATACCCAGCTGTAAGTCTGTAAATACTTGTATATTGACACCCTAAAAGTTGTCTCAAAACCTACATATGGTAGAGTGTAAGCAACTATTAAATTTCAAGGTCAAAGGAAAATTTTAGTATATAAGGACTAACCAGACTAGACTAGGTATCAATTTTCTTCTCCTGAGGATGCTAACTTTGTTGGCGAAACGCGCGTCGTGTGCAAAAATATCAGTTTGGTGTTAGGGCAATTGATCTCGAAAAAAGTTATTCAACTCTTAAAGTTGTTTTGAAAAATAATTTAAACATCTCTTAGAAAAAGCTGGTTTATGATACCAGTCTACCTTTAAAATTCGGTTTGCATCTTTAATTATTCCAGTATCTAGAAATGCTAACGAACTATTTTCTTCCAGTTCAAGAGTAAATTTCAGTTTTGGATAAAAACTATGAAAAGTAGCTAATATTTCAGTTTGTTTATTTTTTGGAATGGAAATAACAATATAGTCAACAAATTTTTTTGAAAAAAAGGCAATGAAAATGACAGTCCTAGTCTCTGCACGTGATGATTCAAATGACAGTGACCTGTAAAGATGACCTGTAGTTCATCCCTACTGCAGTCCAACAACTGTTTGGTATGAAGTTTCGAAGGGTGAATAAACGCCTTGGACTGAACCAATCCTGGAAGATTCTGCCAGGAGTCCATAAATCTTCTTGCCATCCAGGTGTTCAATCTTTGTTTGGCGAAGCCTAAAGCGATGTTTTGGTCCCATGAAGCTCCCTGCATTGCCTTCCAGGCCAGTATGGCCAGGAATCCAGACCAGAGACACTCTGTTAAGTCTTCCTATTGAGGAGAGTCGTTTTTGGCAATTTGCTACCAGTTGCTACCAGACGTTGCTCGGTAGGAACCAAGAGCTTCCAACGCCGCTTGACTGTCCGAAAATATTTTTATTGACTTGTTCATGAGGTTGGATTCTTCCAATCTCTCCACATACAATTCAATAGCGTTCGATACCATCACTCATGAGCTGATTTGCATGAAACTCAAATATTATGGTTTTGATAGTGCTGCCTTATTTCTCATCTGGTCTTATTTACTTGGTAGATCTCAAAAAAGTTGTTGTTGATGGTCATCACTCCTTACCTCTTGATATTCTATCAGGAGTACCACAGGGTTCCATTTTGGGACCTTTATTGTTCATCATTTATACTACTGACATTATCTCGTCCATCAAGAAATGTNACCAGAACCTGATAAGATGTTTTTCTTCCATCTGTGAACCAACAACTATCTCCTCTTAATATGTCCTTTCCCTGGAGGATCCAGTCCTCTCTACTAGGTTCCTAGGTAAGTTCTATAAACATATTATGTGCAACATGTATTGGTTGAAAAAAAATTGATTCGTGACTAGAATAAATTTCCAAAATAAGACGGTTGAATAATCGCACAATGTGACAGTACTTTTCAATATTTGAACAAAAATTGTAATGCCAATAACAATGGTAATATAGCAGATCATAGGAAAGAAAAGTGTATAAGTACTTCCAATCTGAGATTTCTTTCACCAACTAGTTAGAACATTCACACTAAATTAATATCTTGTACATAAAAAATAAAACAACCAACCCATTTGTCTCATGCTAAAGATACATTCATCAATAGAATATTATTTGGAGTTTAATTTTTGTCTGAAACCAAACCATGTAAATATCTAGCAGCACCACCCCATAAGTTTTTTATTTTCAGGTAGTCTGTGTCAGACCCTTCTGGCATTTCTTGAGATAACATCCCTCATTTGTGACCCAGAAATTCGTATTTCCTGTCTTCCTAACAGTGTTGCCATTTGAACAATTCACGCATCTTTTGAAACAACTTTGGAAAAGTATTTAACTTTGTTTCAGTTGAAATATTCGCAATTTTACTTGTCAAAAATATCTGTTTGAAATATGTTTTTTCCGTTAACCAGCTATCGCACCCCTACGAACGACAACCCTCACAAGTCGAAACTTGTGCAAGCTAAGGAATAACGAGGTCTTAACTTTTAACGTGTGATTCCGAACACAGATTGCCAAAATAATACAGTTGTATAACGATGAAGAAACATAATGTAATGTAGAGATTTGTGCTAGTATAAGAAAACTGGATTTCAATAAAATAAAAAGTAAGCCGACAACTTTCGATCTGTGAATTGAAGAAATGGCGACAATCGTCAAATTTGTGTAGACATTCTGGGAGCACAACATTTTTAATTATGAAACCGTAATTTAGCCTATCTGATTAGTTGAAATTGATCTATAGCTCAGAGGATTCAGAATGAAATACAAACAATGTATTTTATTGATTTTATAGCACCCGAAAAATTGCAGTTGTTATTGACAAAATAAGATAAAACAGAATGGCATTTAGTTTTTCGTTAACAACTCAAAAACTAGCAATACTTGAGAAAAGTTCGATCTATCTCCAATGGAGATATTGTTGAAATATCTACCAAGTTATCTTTTAATCATATTCCGTATCTCTTGAGTTTAAATAAAGTGTTTATCAACTGTCATTTTAGTTATAATACACACAAATAATGAAATATTGTCAACGATTAGTCGACTTCACATATTCAGGTGAATATTTTAAATCGGGGTGCCACTAATTTCTGCCCTTGCCAAACCAGATAAATTTTCACCTTCTATATACAGCATACAATCTGATCCAAAAAAAAAACAAGATCAAAAACAAAAAAACTACCAATACCCAAAATTACTGTCTAAATAAACATAACTATTTTTACAAGCTACAAGTGACATATATGACTTATTTCACATCTATTTCAAACATTTTATTAGCTACCCAAAACAAAGAACACGTATGTTTGTGAAGTGGAATATTGGAATGTAGGCTTGGGAAATTGGAAATTCACGATTCTATTAGTCGACTGTGATGTATACAGAATGATTCAATGAATTAGTTTGCAATATCACGATATGACAAGATTCCTTTGCTTGATTTCTACATTCATCTGTTTTTAATCAAAATGTAATTTTTCGAAATGATTATCAATGGGAGCACAGAGGGGGAATTTCTGCAGTATTTCAGAAAAACTTTTATTCGAACTCAATTATTTTTTCTTCAAATGTCAAAGTTGCAGAGTTTTCAAACTGACATTTATACAGGATGGGCCATCGAAAACTTGACATGTACGTTTTGAGTACTAATCTTGCAAATCCTAAAAAACTCTCAGACAGGTAGATTTTTATTGGGAGGGGGACATTTTTTTCCCCATTTACAGCGTCGTCACTTCAACTCCGGAGCAGAGGGGTGAATAACCCTTGGAATTTTAATAGGTAATAGGGGGCGAGTCGCACATTGTTTGAAAGATCTTGGAATTCTCTAAACAACGGTGTAATTTTTTTTTAATTTGAACGAACCACATTAAATTTAGAGTTGAAGTTACTTACTTCATTATCATGTTAGCATATGCTCAAAATGGGCACCTCCAGCTTCCATGCAATAATAGAGATTCTGCTGGAAACGTTCTCGAACATTGTAGAGCTTTTTTGGAGTGATTTGGCAACATTCATTTGTGATTCGTTGCCGTAAATCTTCGGGTGATCCTGGAGGAGTACAGTAAATTCTGCTTTTCAAATAACTCCACAGAAAGAAATCTAACGGCGAAAGATCTGGTGATCGTGGTGGTCATTTGAAAGTGCCCCACTTCCCAATCCAGTGATCCGGAAAAGTCTGATCTAAATACTGCCGAACAGGCAGAGCATAGTACGGAGGAAACCCATCTTGTTGAAATATTAACAGATCCTCCCGACAATTGTGTGGTCATTTTCAATAATATCAGTGAGAAGGGGATTAATAGTATCTTCCAGAAGCTCCAGATACATTTGTCCGGTTAAATTGCCTTCTACAAACAATGGACCAACAATACGGTCACCAAAAATTCTAGTACATACATTTAATTTTTGTGGACGTTGAGTATGCACTTCATGAAAAATGTGAGGATTTAAATCAGCCCAATAGCGACAATTATGGCGATTAACTGTGCCATTTAGAAAAAACAACATTCTCATCACTGTGCATACAAAATGTGGATTTTCCACCGCTCGTTCACTAACCAACTCGCAAAATTGCAAGCGTCGATCGAAGTCATCTTCATTCAGTTCTTGCGTTAATTTAATCTTGTAAGGATGCATTTTGTGGGTTTTCAAAATACGCCGAATGCTACTTCGTGACACGCCAGAAAGAAATGCAAACTTTCTTGTGCTCAAAGTTTGGTCAAGCTCAACACGGCCCAGAATTGCCATTTGTGTCGCCTCATTTGTTACTGGTGGTTCGATTTGCCGTTTTTTATTTGCTACAGATCCAGTTGCGCGAAATTTTGCAACTAAATCGAAAACGTACCGTCGCGACACATTCTTTCCATGTTGTTGATTGAACAGTTCAGCGGTTCTCGCAGCACAACGTCTATTTCCATAGTACAGTTCAATCAACTCAACCCTCTCTACAGTTGTGTAAACCACTGTTTCTTTAGCAAAACTTTACGGCACTCACTACTAGTAATAATGTAGATCTCACTTCCAACATAAAAATTAGAAATAGAACCAGCATTTTAACCATTTCTCCATTGTAATAGTACCGTTGAAAAAAACGATTATCAATAAATTGCTGCTGCGTTGAAGCTGATCTTCAGTTCATTTCATCAAAAGCTCTCTCTCACAGAACTTAAAAGAGGAGAACGGAAAAATAATACATTTTATGATAATGTAAACGTTCCTATAAGGGGAAATGACTTGCAGTAGGAGAGTCTGCGCATTGGCTACAAACGTTGACATTGTTGACAAATGACAGGTTTAGAAAGTCGTTTTTGTAAATGCATTGTACCGATTTCACGTGATTTTTTCATTGTTCCAATTTTATTTCGCCTCAACTCAAGTGTTGTTGAAAGTATTGGAAGTATGCCTGATCATTGTTTCATCGGGTCCTGTAGCAGCAGCGGTAATATTCCTGGAGTTCATTATTTTAGGTAAGTTGAAGTGCTTCAAGGTCAAACATCAGGCTCGGCCTGAAAATAATTGACCAGAATAACGATGGATCATTTTTGTATGATTTTTGTGCATTTCAGTTTTGGGTCCAAGAAAAAGGAATGGTTGGAGATTTTGGGAATCTCAGGAGTGGAAAATATGAGTCCCAGAAATAAGCTTTGTTCCAGGCATTTTGATTGTTGTGATATCAACTTTCCAGCTACTCCTAGTGGACCAAAAGATAAGAAAAGTCTTGTATGTTACAGATGGAAAAATTTCAAGTGAATCTCAATTTTTCAATCATTTTGTTTTGAATGTTTCAACCGATCTACTCTACTGGCCACTATTCTCTGATTTAGACAGTCATAATAAAGAATTTTTGACACTAGCAGAAAATCATAAGTCCAGGATAATCAAGTCTTTATGCATTTCATATTTGAAAATTAGACTTTTCAATTTAGCAAAGTCACAAAGCTATGAGATTAAAGGCAATTTGATCAGAAAAAAACTGAGCAAACTGATTTTATTCAATCATCAGTAAATTTTCATCTTCCTGTCATGTAAATATCTGATTGTTCTTCCACATATTCAATAACTATATCTTTCAGAACCACAAATCTGTTGTCTACATACCAATGAGTAGATAAATATCTAATTTTAGATTCCACGACTCGGGTCAAATTAAGTTTCCACTAGACTGTAGATGTCATCAGTAACCTCTTGTCTTTTCGGTATATTATGTATAAACTTCAATGAAAATATTAATCACTTGATTGACATTAACAATTCCATTACACAACTTTGTATACAATTCTGTGATGTGTTATTGTTAGATATTATTGAATATCAAAATAATTCCAATAACATACAAAATAATCTGACATTCCAGAGAATGCATTGGAATACAGTTATGTAACGTTTATGAGATTTTTTGTAAATTGGTTAGATTTCACTCGAATTTCCATGTGCAGACTCTCAACTGGTTTGGCTGGATGACATTTTCTGTATGTTAAGTGAATGATACCACAAAAAAGTAGTTTTTTGCAATGTATAGCAATGTTTTTGATATTGGAAATTACTATCAAGTTATATTGTTTGTCAGAACATGATTATTATTTTTATTGATTTGTAATTATCACATTAAAATAAATTATTCATTACTATTAATAGTTTTATTGACATATTTGAAACCTTAAAAACTGTCGCTTCCAAGTGAGTTCACGAATTTACACCAGATTCACTTTGTCTTAGTTTTCCAATGTTTTGTAATAATATTTTGGATTCGTGATTAACGTGTTATAATTTTTTTCACTTTTCTATTAAATGATATCCTGTAATAATAGTTTAAGTTTACTCTTGCAATAGTGAAAATAATTAAATATAGCACGAAAGCAAATAAACCAACAGAAACTGCAAAACCAAGGGGCTTTCTGTTTTGGCAATTTTGTCAAAAATAATAAAAGCAATTCACAAGGAAATACACAAGTTTGGTAGGTGAACATTAGGAATTGCCTAACATTTTATCTAATATTAAATTGTAAAGTGTATAAACCAGTAATAAATTACAATATCATGGGGGCTGCCCTCGAGATTTTTTTTTACCTGCACATATTGTAATCATCTGATGATGATGTCATGAGTGAGCTGATCAGTCAACCTAACAAGACTGTGAAATTTACTATTTTACCCCATCCGTTTATTCTCTTATGCTTTTGAAATTTTGAGGTAGATAGTTGAATCACAGCACCAACGTTTCATTTGATGTTGGTAGGACAAACTTCATTGGTTTCATTCAAATGGAAAACAAGCAATTTTTTGACAACTTTCACTGACGTGGGTCCACTATTCTGATTTCTTAAAAAGATTATTTCTAAAAGTTAGGGTTATTTTAAAAATTAGTTGTTTTTTAATGATCCTTTCAAGGTATAAGGAAGCGAGTCCTCCCCAACCTATTATACTATAGATTCCAAAAGACCTTTTTCTAATTTAGCATGGCTAGATTGAGAGAGCTCCCCTATAAAACAAAAAATAGCAAAAGTACAAATATTGTGTCAATTTTATTTTCGGATTTTTCAAAGTGGGCTGCAAATAATCTGAAACCATCTCCGAAAACGCGTTATGCGCATGCGTTCCTACTGCTTAATTTTCTCCTTGTAGGAACACTATCACAGAACGCTATTTCCGTTCTCCTCTATGTTTAAGTTCTGTGGTCTCTATAAAGGTTTTTTTTCTTTTCGTTCCCAAGTGAATTCTCAAAGTAAACTTCATGTCCCTTATTGACCCCTTTTTTGATCATGTTTCGTACCATATATTTTACTACCTTCCAAACTGATTCATGGTGAATATATGAAGCTGATAATCCGTGTCTCTTTCGTTGCCTGTAATTCTTACATGCCCAGATTGTCCAGACACCAAAATTTATTAGGGTCCAGTTCTTCAGTTCTTCACGGCAATTCCAGAACGGTTTCTGTGTCCCAAAAGGAATGATATGTGCATTATTTTACGCTTGGAAGACAGTTATGTATTGATAGAGCGGGTAACTGTAATTTAAAATTTCCTCGAACATTATATTTCAGCTCCCGCCTCATGTTCGGTTTTCAAACGGTCTGTATTCCAGGTACTACTGCCAAAGATGTTCTCGGGATAGCATCCACTCTTATTGATTTGCGAATTCAACCGAGAAGTTTGTGATGGAAGTGTACTTCGGTGTCATGTGGTTCGTGAAAATGTTCTTCATAGATCTCATGAACAATTTACAAAGACATATACTCTACTTATAATCGTTTCAAATATCGATTTGAGTATTCCACAATTGTCCATTCGATCACATGTTTGTTAGTCTATTTTCCGATTGATCATTGGTCCTTTCTTGATCGAGTGTCGTTAAAAATGTTATTCTCGATGTTTGGAACGGAACCCGAAATTTCTTCTAAATAAGGGAGAATCACATCCACGGCAAGATCATGAATTTTCAAGATAAAGTTATGGACACTTATGGATGTAGGCATTCACGTGAGTGATATAGCGCGATAGAACAGTAATCTGCCTGCCTGTTGCCCGATAAATTGAACGGCTTTCAACGAGCAATTTTCTAGAATGCGAAAAAAATGACAAGCGGCAGTCAATACTTTACACATTTCTTTTCCAAATGACCTCGACTCATTTCAAAAATTACATTTGTATAAAAAAAGGGATGATTGTAGAAATCATGCATTGGGAACTTGTACTATCACGGTAAATGTTTCCAAAATATCATAAAAGATAATTCCGAATTTGGTCAGCTACAAAAAAGTTGGTATTCATTCAATAGACATAGGCCATAGCGGATAAAGATTTCGTTTGTAGTCTGGGTCGCAAGATCCTTTTTTTTTGGAACTTCTGTCGAAGGGCACCGAAAATTATGATCCAGGGTTGAGGCAATGCAGTCTG